CATAAGTCAGAGGTCCTAATGTGCTGTTGTGTTTTTAAGGCTGTCAAGATTCTGTGGCTTATTTTAGAGTCTCAAAAGGTCAATCTATTGTAGTAATGCTGGGAGAGGCTGCTATTGACAAAAAAGAATGGACGCGAAGCAGGTGGAAACTATTGACATAATGGAAGGAGAGAGTCCTTTCAGAAAGACTGGATCACAGGGCATTCCACACGCCATTAAAACCATTAAATGAAAACAGCAGGGAGGGGAAAAAATTGTTGGAAATAATCATCCTGATTTTATCGTGTTATAGACAAACAGAAAAGTATCGTCATGCTGAGTGGTGGGTCTCACTTCACTCGGCCAATGATACCTCGGTTACTAGGATTAATATCTGGTGTTGAAGATGGCCAATCATCCTATCTGATGTCCATAAAAAGAGGGATTTTGAATGGAAAGGACAGTGGCTACTGAGGAAAGTTCTTCTGCTAATCTTTGTGGGGTCAGGATTGCTCCCCCTACCAATGCAAAGGATTAATGCACACATGGGAACAGACTTAATCCTGCATTGGCAGGGGGATAGAGATGATGACACCCTATGATAGCGGGGTGCTCTCTTTCCCATGTCTGTGGATGCAGAATTTAAAAATACATCACCTTTAGGTTCTTGTTTTCCATGTTGCAAAAAGTCCTAACGGAAAGCCTGTTAACTAAGATCAGTGTAGCTTTACCCAGAAGAGGAACTGGTAGAACAGTTCATACAAATGCAGTATGAAAGGATTCCTTTCTGATGTGTTTCTGTAGTGCCTATCACTGTGCTTTGGTAATTGTGACCTGCATCTCATAGGGGCACCTGTGATGAAATTCACACCTGTGCCAGTACAAAGCCAATGCACCACTTAGGCCCAATTCTGAGGGCTTAAGTGGAATTTCATGGGCCTTGTGCTGGCTCTTTGCACAGGAGTGAATTCAACCCGAAGAGATTCTACTGTAACACAATAGGCAGCAATCTAAGCAAGAAATGGCAGCTCTCTCACTTGTGATGAAACCTGGAAAATCAGTGAAGAGTGAAGGACTGGGTTGGCTCAGTGTAAAAATGAGCTGGCTTTTGCAGACTCTTTGCTGAATACGGAAAAGAATTCACTCTGTGAGGGGACTGGTTGGCAGTGGAGAGCTGCAGGAGCTTGCTCATACTTTGGGTTTGCAGCAGGCAAAAGCAGGCACGAGGATTTAGTAGTTCTCTTCATTCCCCGGGAGGTATAGAGCGCATTCATTACCTGTACAAGCTGGCAGGCTGCACAATGGAAAGCTGACACGACAGCTGGCAGGGGGTCAAACTCGTATTCCTTCCAGTTGTAGTTTTCCTTACGCAGAGAGAGCTAACTGGAGTTGTCGTCTCACATCTAAAATTTTAAAAGCCAGCCCTGGTTCTCCTCTCCGTTAGACGTGGGTAACTCCATTGACTTCAATGGAGTTACTACTGATTTACACAGGTGTAAGTGAGAGGAGAATCTGGCCCTGTTTTGACGCCTTAATGCCATTAGGATGTCCGTTCAGCACCCAGTTCTGAAGATCAGCAGCACCAGAACCAGGAGATGAAAATTCTATTTTGGTGTGCTCCATCCTGACAGTTAGGGAATGGACGCGAACACGGGAGCTTGAGAACATGGGAAGGTAAACCAAAAAAACAATGCCATCCCCCGCCCCACCCCCCCCCCCCAAAAGAAAACCCAACCAAAACAAACCACTCCACTGCACAAGCAATTCTGAGCGAAATGAGACAGAAAGAGAATGAACCTCACAGGACAGAGGTTAGTCGCGTTGCTTAACCACTACTGGAAAGTACTCTGGTAATGAGGGCAGTCCAATCACTGATGTAGAATAGCCTTAGTGGCAGGTAATAGTCCAGAACTCTGAACTTGTGGAACAAAGCCAATGGGCTTTCTTCTCCTGTAGATACTGGACCCTGGTGCTGTTTACCACACTCACTAACATCACCCCAATTCTAATTTGTGTTCGTGCTCCCAGACGACAAAACCTCAATGTGTAGTATGTTCTAAGTACAGGAGCTCAGATTGTGCATGGCCTCTGCATAGTTATAGAGCAGCAGAGGGATAAAGCAAGAACTTTCCATCCTTGCTTTAATGCCAGCTTCCCTCGTAGTGGGAACAAAACAAGCATTTTTATAGGCAAACCAAATGGAAGGTGGGGCTTGTGACTAGGTCTCCTGGTCCCAGTCCAGCACCTCAGGATTCAATTCCCAGCTCTGCAGCAGGCTTCCTTGGCCAAGTCACTGTCTCCCTGTGCCTTGGTTCCTACATCTGTACAATGGGGCTATTAATACTCCCTTTCTTACTTAACATTTAATGCCTAAAGGTCACAGCCACCATTGTAGTAGGTGCTATATGAACAGATAGTAAATGACAATCCCTGCCCCCAGGAGTCGATACATCTTTGTCTGTCTTGCCTACACTGTAAACTGTTTGGGACAGGGACTCTCTCTCGCTGCGGGTATGTCTACACTGAAATCACTTGATAAGAGCTCACTTGGGCACTGGTGGAGCAGTGAAGCTGTGGCAGCGTGGGTGGGGCTAGCAACCCATATAATTACCCAGGGATGGAGGTAGGCTTGTACAGCTCGTGCTGAAGCCCAAGATGCTGTGGCTTCACTCCAGGTCAAAGATAGCTCGGGTGTGTCTGTCCGACATCCTGTGATTGCAGCGTAGACATACCCCCATGTGTCTGTGCAATGCCTGGCACAATGGGGTTCCAAGCTCATTTGGGATCTATAATTGCTATCATAATACAGATATAACCTTGGGTGTGCATATTGATATGGGCATCTATATGAGACAATAGGGCTTTGTGCTGAATCAGGAACAGTTAAAATTTTCCGGTACAGTCGTGATTTGTAACCACTGAGGATAGCTGCTAGTGTTCTGTTTTGCTGGGGCATCTAGGGGCTACTTAATATAGATAAGAAACAGATGATTCTTCTCAAACTTTTTGTTGCTTGAAAATGGTATGAATTCAGTGCTGCAGAATAGTGCTGGCTTGGGAGACCTGGGGACAATGTGTTTACACTGCAATAAAAGACATGTGGCTGGTCTGGATCAGCTGTCTGGGGCTTGGGCTGTGGGGCTATAAAACTGCCGTGTAGATGTTTGAGCTCAGACTGGGGTTGGTCCTGCTTTGAGCCGGGGGTTGGACTAGATGAACCTCCGGAGGTCTCTTCCAACCCCAATCTTCTATGATTCTGTGGTGTCTGGACTCTGAGACACCATGACGGGGAAGGGTCCCGGAGCCTGGGATCCAACCCAAAGTCACTGCAATTGTCTCGTCCTGCAGCTGGAGCCCTGCAAGCTAGAGTCAGCTGCCCCAGGCCAAACGCAGCGGTGTTGCAGGTCTTTTTGAGCAGTGTAGATGTACCCCACGTCTTCTTTTTATCCAGACAACAGGTAGCAGAAGTGCAAACTGCTGATGTGCCTGTAACTGTAAGTAGCTAGATTTCTAAGGCTGCCAACACAAGGACCAATTCGTGCCGCTCGCAGCAGTGTAGCTGTTGCTACTTGTCTGTGCTGGGAAGCAGCTTGAGAGAGACAGGGCCAGTTGCAGGGGTCCTGGGCAATGGATATTTTGGCATCTTCCTTGCAAAAGCATGAGGAAAAAGAAGGCTCAGCAGTGCATGCATAATAAACTCTGTCCTGCCAGCCTGAGTGTTAGATCTCTCGGGAGCACCAGTAAACAGAGTACAAATACATATGACTAACCTTAGAGGTAGTGAGTGCTCTCTTATTTTCTCTATTCCTTTCCCTCACCTTCTCCTCCCCGCCACTTCTCTCTGTTCTATTCTCTCTTCTTCTACTTTCTTTTTAACTCCCTCCTTATTTTGTTCTGTCTCTGTTCTTTTTTCCCCATCCACCTCCGTCTTCCTTTGGATCTGCTGTGTTCATGGCATACAAAACAGAGGAGATAGATTTAAAAAATACTTCTGTTGGAAGCTTGCAGTGTAACGCTACTTTATTTCTTATAATTCAGAGTGATGTTTGCAGTGTTGTTGTAGCTGTGTCAGTCCCAGGATATGAGAGAGACGAGCTCTGTGGAGCTTGAAAGCTTGTCTCTTTCTCCAACAGAAACTAGTCCACTAAAAGATATCACCTCACCCATATTGTCTCAATTCAGAACGATTATACACAACCATCCAAAACAGAGAGAAACGAAGCAGGCTGCTCCTTAAAACAGAGAGGCAAAACTTACCCCACCCTACTGTAGGCTGCCTGTCTTCTGAATGCATTCTGATCACAGGCTTCCCTCCAGAGCCTCTGCCTGCAAGCAGGACCAGGAAGAAACCTTGAGAATTGTTTTCCTTCTCTTGAGTCTGAGTCTAGGCCCACTGTGGCCATGCAGTGGGTTTTTTATTGCAGTGTAGATGTATCCTAAATGGGAGCTGAGCTCGTGAAAGTCTGGCCCAAAGGAGACAGCAGGAAAAGCAGCTACCAAGAGGGTGTAAGAAGATGGGAGTTAAAGTAGGGCATTTCCTACTTCGACATCCACCTTCTTCTGGCCCCTTGTGGTAGCAGCTCCCCACCCTAAAGTGGCCTAATCCACCTCTCATTTTACACCTTACCTCTGAATATATATTTACTTACTGTAAGTTCTTTGCGGGAGGGACCACCTTTTTATTCTGTGTTTGTACAGCGCCTCGCACAGTGGGGTCCTGGTCCATGACTGGGATTCCTAGCTACTACCACAATACATATAATATTCAGAATCCATACTGGATTTTTTCTCTCGTTTTTTTTTTTTTAATGATTCTTTCCTAAGTGAAAGTTCCTTGTGAAGGGGTGAGGTAGCAAAGACCGTTCCTTGACATCCATCATTTTAAATGTCCCGTACACTCTGTGTTTCACTTCCTCCTTCCATAACCCCCACCCACCACCGTAAAATTGGGGAAATTACACTGATGCACCTCTGTAAAGTGCTTTGAGATCTACCCACGAAATAGTCTACATGGCTGGTGCTGGTGTTCTCAGTCAACGGTTTATTCTCCAAACGTATAACTGACGTAGAACCCAGAGTAGCAATCGACCTAACAACAACAACAGCTTCAAAGATGTGTAGACTTTTGCTTCAGGGGCCAATGCCATGTAGATTTCAAAAGCAAATTTTTCTTATTGGAAAGAAAAGGCTTTACAACAGAAGCATGGATGCTAGTGAATTTTCACAGTAAGGAAAATATCTCAACACACTTAACCCACCTCAAACCAGTAATTACTATGTAGCATTGCTAGGCAGGCACATTTTTGACTGTAGAGCATGCAGGCAAGTGCAACAGCAATATGCACGAGAACAGTAGCTTCTGGTATAAAACAGACATCAGCCTTTCCTCCCTGCACATGATGAATGTCTGTGCTGATGCGGCAAGCTGGTCATTCCCCCGTTGTTTCACAACAGCCTCACGGGCATTCAGAATTAGTCTGCTTTCATCCAGGTGGCAATGAGGAATAACTTCACTGAAGTCAATGGGGCAACATCTGTACAGCTGGTCAGGAATTTTCAGCCAAAACCTTCTTTTTGTTTGAAAATGCTGATTCGTCAAAACTGAAGCAGTGCACAGGAAAGGGTCGCTGCTGAGGAATCTCCCGTTTCAAAACATTTGTGAATTGTATTTCCCAAACGGTTGGAAAAGAGGTCAAAACAGGACTTGCCAGCCATTTTGGAAACACATTTTCTGTTCAAAAAGGCTTTTTTTTTGTGCATGTAAAATTTTAGTTAGATTTGGTATTAATTAAATCATGAAGTATTATTCTTGTTAGAAAAAAAGATCAAGACAAAATATTTCAACAGTTCCTGAATTTTAGATTTTTTTGATTCATGAAAATTTTGGAGATTTTGACTTTTTGGGATGGGAAAAAAATTTTGAAATCTCCAAAAACACTCGTGGGCTGGAGAAACCTTTTCCTTCCCAGCTCCTCACACAGATCTGACACCAGTGTATGAGCAGCAGCAGCAGGCTCCGTGGGATGCAACATTGTTTTGTCAGCTCAGGCAGCTGATAGCAGCGTGGACTCTTGAGCAAAGTCCGTGAAAGAGGCCCTGTGCACAGAGCATGCTGTCTTATCCCCATCCCCATGTCTGAGAGTCAGGCAAGAGCAGACGGTTCCTAAAACTAGGTTTCCATGGTTCATGCATTTCCAGCTTCTAATTTACGGGGGTGCGCGTCTCATCCTGTAAGGTGCAAAGCACCTTCAACACCTACTGAAGACAAGGAGACAAGGAGGCTGTTGGTTCAGCCCCAATTAACCTGATTTGTTTGGGGTTGGATGGAACCATCAGCTCAAGAGGGAAGATGAATAAAATAGCAATAATTAAAAAAGGAACATTCTACCACCCTCTCTCCCCATCCCTTTGGAAAACTGGCAGCCTTTTATCCTCTGAAACTCATCCATACCTGGTCCCATATTCCACAGGTTACATTTGAGATGGAGACCTGGGCAGCTGGAAATTAGAGTGAAATATAGAAACCAATGACGAAAGAGAACACTGGAAATATTAAAGCACTCAGTGTGGCTTGTTTTCATTAAAGTGGATACTGCTCCCTAAAGCAAAGTTATTTTGATCCATGAAGCACAGTGTGTACTTGAAGTCAGCAGCAATCATGCTGACTGTCCATTGGGCAGTATCTCCTTATGGGTGGTCACCATGGGGTAGGTAATGACCGCCACTGAAAGCACTGACTCCAGCTTTGCGGATGGCACCTGCTCACAGAGTCTCAGTTCCAGGTTCTCTGCACTCAGGTGGCTGTGCAAGCTTCTGCCCTCCTTCCTGATGCCACAGTTCGAGGGTCCCATTTTGGCCCTTTCCAGCTGCTGGCTCTCCTGCTTGTCGGCTGGCTCAGGGCTCCGCAAACTGCAGAAGAGAATAGCCACGAAGCTCTTCTTGAAGTTCTCATTCATAAAAGTGTAGACCACGGGGTTATTGAAAGAGTTAAAGAACCCGACGGCCTGGACGATGGCAAAGATTATCTTTACGGTGACATCATCGTAGCTTTCCTCCAGGTTATCTGGGGAGCAAGGGAATAGATTAGAAAGAACCAACCAGAGGGTCTTACCTATTAGACCCACATCTTTCTGTTTGCTACACTATGTGCTCCCTTGCCTTACCATTCACCAGCCTCCTCTCCAGTCCTTCAACATGCTCCCACTGCAACTATGTTGAAGCTCACCCCTGAGCATGAGGCCTATGCCGCTCTTACAGACAGGACTTAAGTGGTTGCAAAGGCCTCTTCACTGGGGTGAATTTCACCTGAAGTGAGGCAACCTGCTCTGCAGCACCTGCAATCTGGAATAGCCATTCGACCTCTCTCCAGTTTGTCCCTTTTCAAATCTTACCCCCTTGTGACTACCTCTCTCCCCAATTCATAGAATCATAGCAGATTAGGGCAGGAATAGAACTCAGGAGGTCATCTAGTCCAACCCCCTGCTCAAGGCAGGACCAATCCCCAACTAAATCATCCCAGCCAGGGCTTTGTCAAGATGGGCCTTAAAAACCTCTAAGGATGGAGATTCCACCACCTCCCAAGGTAACGCATTCCAGTACTTCACCACCCTCCTAGTGAAAGAGTTTTTCCTAATATCCAACCTAGACCTCCCCCACTGCAACTTGAGAACACTGCTTCTTGTTCTGCCATCTGCCACCACTGAGAACAGCCGAGCTCCATCCTCTTTGGATCCCCTTTCAGGTAGTTGAAGGCTGCTATCAAATCCCCCCTCACTCTTCTCTTCTGCAGACTAAACAATCCCAGTTCCCTCAGCCTCTCCTCATAAGTCATGTGCCCCAGCTCCCTAATCATTTTCATTGCCCTATGCTTGACTCTTTCCAATTTGTCCACATCCCTTCTGTAGTGGGGGGGGGGGACCAAAACTGGACACAGTACTCCAGGTGTGGCCTTACCAGTGCCGAATAGAAGGGAATAATCACTTCCCTCCATCTGCTGGCAATGCTCCTACTAATGCAGCCCAATATGCTGTTAGCCTTCTAGGCAACAAGGGCGCACTGCTGACTCATATCCAGCTTCTCATCCACTGTAATCCCCAGGTCCTTCTCTGCAGAACTGCTGCTTAGCCAGTCGGTCCCCAGCCCGTAGCGGTGCATGGGATTCTTCTGTCCCAAGTGCAGGGCTCTGCACTTGTCCTTGTTGAACCTCATCCGATTAATTTTGGCCCAATCCTCCAATTTGTCTAGGTCACTCTGGACCCTATCCTTACGCTCCAGCATATCTACCTCTCCCCTCAGCTTAGTGTCATCCATGAACTTGCTGAGGGTGCAATCCATCCCATCCTCCAGATCATTAATGAAGAAGTTGAACAAAAACAGCCCCAGGACCGACCCTTGGGGCACTCCGCTTGATACTGGCTGCCAACTAGACATCGAGCCGTTGATCACTACCCGACGATCTAGCCAAATTTCTATCCACCTTATAGTCCATTCATCTAATCCATACTTCTTTAATTTGCTGGCAAGAATACTGTCACGAATCCTCTTCCTCTCCCACATTGCTGCTCTTATTTGTGCCTGCAGCTGTGCTATAATTTCAGCATTTTGATTCGAGCTAGTTGGTAAATATCTTCCCTGCACCAGTGGAATTTTTTTTAAATAGTTCTTTGTCAACATTTTTCACAGAAAATTGACAGGGTTTTTTTTTTTTTTTTTTGGTGACCAATTGAAAACTGAAATATTTCAGCCCCGAATTTGAAATGTCACTGTGGTGCCTCCTGGGAGTTGTAGTTCAGGTGGCTCATGATCTCCTTCTCCTCTAGAGGCTGGCCTACATCGCCCATGATGCACCATGGTCTCCTCTTGGTGAGGGGAGGTGGGGAACCATGGGAAATGAAATCGAGCGGGAGCGCATGGCTCACGGAGGAAAATGCGAGCAGGGGGCACTGGAGTTGGGCTTTGGGAGAGCATTCTGTTTTCTGACAAAAAGTTGCAATTGCCACGGCGGAGCAGACACTTTTCATGAAACAACTTTGTTTAGTCAGAAACCCACTTGTCTGCTGAAAACTAGGTTTGTTGCCAAACTTTTGGCCAGCCCTAACTTTCATGTAGTTTTTAGGTGAGGTGGTATACAAAACAAGGACTAGAGCCCTTACAAGTATGTGTTGTCCCATTGACACGGTCTGAGCTTCTCATCTGAGTAAAGGTTTACAGGATCAGGCCCTATGTTTGTACTGTGCTGAGGTGAGGAATGCTGGTATTTGGAGAGAACTGGGAAACTGACCATAGGCCCAGCCGAATACATTGAGGGCTAAATTGGGGAAATGTTGCTGTTCCCCCCCCCCCCACCCTTGATCACACTACTTGCATCACCACTGGAGTTTCCAGGGAGTGTTTATGGCAGGGCTGTTAAGAGCCGGCCTATGCCCTACTGAAGTCCCACTGAATCCCTCAAAATAGGACTGTGCTGCCTGTCTGCATAGTGTTAATTTCACCCCAAATCATCTCCACAACACCCCACGTACAATGGGAAAATGGTCTCACAATATTACGGCTGGAGAAAATGAGGCAGAGAAGTTGCAGAACTCGACTAGGGCTATGCAGTGAATCGGTGACAGAGCCAGTATTAGGCTGCAGGAGACTCCCTAGCTTCCATCTCTAAGTTCAGGCCACTTTTTCAAGTAACTTTAATAGCACAGCATGCATGGGTATTGTTACAAAACCACCCATCGCTGCCTTGCCACCACAGACTGACTAATGTGCCTGAATAAATTTTTTTACATATGGAGATAGGCTGCATTTATGAATTGGAATGGCTTTTGTGTAACAGAGGCTGTCAGTTGACATTCTGATCATTCATGTGTGGAGTGAGACCTTGTTGAGTTAGCAGGATTTTGAGGAGCTGTCTACGCTCACATTGCACTAATCAGTGAATTATATACTGTACTGAGGCAAGGATGCCTCTTTTGCCGGCTATTTGAGAATCTTCTCTTTTATAATCAACATCCCCAAGGGGATGGAAGGAGGACTCAGCTGGGCATGCAGGAAGACAAATTTTGCAAATACTAGGCCAGTTCCTCCTCTCATGGCATAGCTGCATTGTCTTCAATGAAGATACACTGATTTACACCATCTGGCTCATTGTCCTGTGATTTACTGCTTTCAATTACTTGTAAACCTGGGCTAGATTCAGATCTCATTCTCGTCAGCACAAAGCCAGAATAACGCCACTGATTGCAGAGGTGTGGGGGGAGGAAATTACTTTGGATTTAGGATGGTGGATCTGAGAGCAGAAATGATCCATCATATTCATTCATCTGCTGCATTCATTTCTTATGTTGAATTCTGCTGAGAAGCTAGTGTGTGTGGGTGTAATTGGTGTATTTAGTCCTTAGCCATAGCGTTGTTGTTGTTGTTTTTTCAAGAGAGCAAAAAAGCCACTCTGGCTGGAGACCTCCCCTATAAAATAATTGGAGTTGGACCCAAGCTGTAAAATTTGGATCTGGTTTGATCTTGGCTTCAGTGTATGGGTCCTGCCCATTATAGAAACTGAAACGTTTGCAAATGGATTTAGATTTCAGCCTGCCCAAAGAGTGTAAGAATATCTGGAATTAGGTTTTTGGTTCAAGCTCATGTCTAAATACAAGGAATAATGCAGGCAACTCCAAAACAGTGGGTGCTCTTGGCTGTCCTCAAGGTCATATGCCAGGCAAAAACAAATGGGTCAGGCATTCTACCCAATTTAGATAATAGTGTTTCCCCTCTGGCCCAAGCTGTTAGCTAAAGTTCAGGACTTTGAAGGATTGTTTCCATTAGGATGAGAAATTGCTACTGCAAGTCAGGTCTACTTTTGGTGTCATCTTGTTTATTTACAAAAAATGTACACAGTCTATCTCCCCGGACACATTAGAAACAAACAACAGTAGGCAGTTTTCTTGCTCAGAAATTCCCAAATCTGCCAACTTCATGAGCTCTCTGCCCAAGAAGCTCTGTCTCTCTGCTTCCTCTCAGAGCCACATTCACAACCCCATCCCCAGGCTTTCTGCTCCAACACACAGAGTCTGCTGCCCATATCCTAGCCATGTGTTTGCAGCCAGGGAAACCCCACACTCTACACAACTTAGCACTAACCTGGCATGCTGCCTAGAGCCTTGGGCAGTAGCCTCCCAGCTGTCATTACTCAATAAAGGGACTTGATTGCTCCTTCTCTTGAGCCTAAAGGGATTTTATTCCAGAATAATTACTGCTCTTTGGAAATGCAGTAATTACACTGGAATAAAGTGAGTCTAGAACACAATGTCCTTATAGGGAGTTATTCAGGAATAGTTTTTGCAGAATAGTTTCCTTGTGTACATTAGCCTTTAGCTATCATCTCCAATGCTGCAATACTGCAGTCAGTTCTGGACAATGCGGTATCGGAAAGATATGGGCAAACGGACAAGAGTTCAGAGAAGACCATTAATGAAAAAAATCAAGGGGCTTAAGCAATGCAGTTTTGATGAATGAGTAGAAGAGCTAAGTATATATTGGTGCTAATAGACTATTCTGGAATTGCAGTGGAGCTACTGTCTCAAGGGAGGTTTCAGAGTAGCAGCCGTGTTAGTCCGTATTCACAAAAAGAAAAGGAGGACTTGTGGCACCTTAGAGACTGACCAATTTATTTGAGCATAAGCTTTCATGAGCTACGGCTCACTTCATCAGATGCATCTTTTTCCACTGAATGCATCTGAATGCACTGAATGTAGCTCACGAAAGCTTATGCTCAAATTAATTTGTTAGTCTCTAATGTGCCTCAAGTCTTCCTTTTCTTTTTTCTCTCAAGGGAATGTCTCTTGTTTTATTTTTATTGGTCATTTCAGGAATTTTAGGATCTCTCTCTCTCTCACACACACACACACGCACACAGAGTCTTTTATCAGTTCAATTTATATCTACTCACTGTATTCAAACAACATGTGGACAACGTGAAAAGGTGCCCAGCACGCAGCGAAGAACAGCACTACAATAACCATCATCATCACGGCTCGTTTCTTCTTCCTGGAGGAAGCCATTTGAGACAGAGAGCGAGAGCTGACAAGGAGACATTTATAGCAGGAGGCAAGCAGAAATTCAGCACCTGATCATTTGTACTGAGAGAAATAGGCTAGTTGCGTTCAGATGGTAGGAGAGTGAAAAGCATTCACTGTAAAGCATTCACATTCCTGATAAAAGGACACAAGGATGGTCAATGAAATTGAAAGGTGGCAAATACCACCCCCCTCACCCCGCCCCCACCAATCTGATTAAAGGAAGCACTTTTTTTCTACACAATGCAAAATTAACCAGTGGAACTCATTGCCAAAAGGCCTCTGAAGCAGCTAATACCGGCCCCTGTCAGAGTCAGAATTCTGAAGTAGATTGACCACTGGTCTACTCCTAGTATGGGAATTCTTCTGACTGCATCACAACCACTTTATGACCATTATACCAGCTGGCTTAACATTTTTTCATTTGCCAGGAAATTGCTATATTTTCTAGAGGGGTTGGATAATGCCCGAAAGGTTTGCAGCTTTGCTTCCAGTTGGATAAGCACCCAGAAAGCTCAGGGGCCCAATTCTGCTCTCACTGACTCTGATGTAAATCTGGAGGTATCCACGGAAGTGAATGGAGTTACACTGATGCAAAACGGGTGTCGGAGGAGAATCGGGACAATGTGTTTATTTGGGCCGTAACAGGATTGCAGAATCCAAAGAGGCTTCCCAGGTTCTGGGTATTTCCTTCTTGGGACACTCCAAATTTCCTCCCTCCCTCTGACAGCTCTTTGCTTCTCCCTGTGTTTCTTCAGGGTTAGCTGAATAGGCCTCTATGGTGCATCAGTGCCCACTAGTACTGCCCACGACTATATGCTCTCCATTTGATTGTGCTGCTTTCATGCCTCTCCCTTTGAGCATCACTCTGTAGGTCTCCTGGGAAAAGGGTGGGAGTGGGAATCTGACCTCCTGAAAGAATTTCACAAGTGTGGTACAAACGGCAGCCAAAATTCTGGGGAACGTTCTTTGGGCTGAGCTTCCTAACAGCCATGGGAGTTAAGTGGCAGGCCTATGCAACGGAGAGAGAAACTGAACCATAAAGCACCCAGCACAACAGGGTCCTGGCCCAGGACTGGGGCTTCTACATACTACAGGAATGAAAGTTCTGATTCCACACTTACTGGAGTCAATGGAAAAGTTCTCATTGACTTCAGTGTGTGTTGGAACAGCCCTATAGGACTTGCCTAAGGTTCTACAGTAAGTCAGTGGCAGAACAATTAATAGAACCCAGGAGTCCAGACGACCAGTCCTCTCTTCTAACCACCTGCCAACATTGCCTACTAGTTCTCGCACGCATGCCTAAACTGTGATGCTTCTCCTCTGGTCTAGGGCTGCCAAGTCTCCAGGATTGTCCTATAGTCTCCAGGTTTTAAGGATTCATCTTTAATTAAAGATAATGCCATATGATGAAACCTCCAAGAATTCATCCAACCGAAGGTGGCAACCCTATCTCTGTGCCATTTAAAGCCAGTCAAACAGGCGGCTACCCACCTTGTTATTTTAGCCATTTCATGGCGACTCAGGGTGTTCAATACTGAAGAGTCTCCAATCCGTTTCTTGATCCACAGCTCGTATCCTATCCGGGAGTAGAGCATCAGCATGGCCGTGAGTGGCACCAGAAACAAGGCCACCAGGATAAAGATTGCATAAGCACGGCGCAGCTCAATGCTATGCCAGGACTCCAGACAGCAGACATGATGAATATTATAGAGAAAGTCATATTTCACCTAAGGGTGGGGGGGGGGGAGGGGCGTGGAGTGGAGAAAGATACAAGGTCAGAGACTTACAAGAGATGATCAGTGCATCAGAGAGGGAGCGTCAGAGAAAATAATATCAGTATGAACAAGAATGACACAACACTGACAATAAATAAGAAAAGGGGAAACGAATCAAATCTAAAAGCAACAAAAAGCCAAGAAGGGAAGAGTGCCAGAGACTCTGTGTAGTCCACTAGGGACTTTGCTATTGCTAGTGATTTTACGTCGAAGATGTTCAGATACCATGGTGATGGGCAGCGGTATAAAACCCCAAGCTAGGTAGGTAGGTAGATAGACCAACACCTTGAAATTTGAACCCAAACCAGAAACACCAAGAGTTAAGATTTTTTTTTTTGCTTATATATAAATTGTCACTTTACATAAGAATTGACATACAGGGTCAGACCAATGGTCCACTTAGCCTAGTATCTTGTCTCTGGCAGTGAAACTTCAGGAGAAGTGTACAGAGCAGGGCAGTTTGGAGAGATCCATACTTGTTTTCCCCTTCTGCCTTGTGGCAATCAGAGGTTTATGGTCTCCCCAAGCATGAGGTTACATCCTTGACCATCTTGGCTCATAGCCATTGATGGACCTATCATTCGTGAACTTATCTAGGTTTTTTTTTTAACCCAGTTATGCTTTTGGCCATCATAACATCCCCACAGGCAGTGAGTTCCACAGGTGTTAATTGTGTGTTGTGAAAAAGTACTTCCTATTGTTTGTATTAAAGGTGCTGCCTATTCATTTCATCGGGTGACTGTAGTTCTTGTGTTTATGTGAAGGGTTAAATAACATTTCTCTATTCACTTTCTCCATACCAGTCATAATTTTATTGACCTTTATAATCTTCTCCTCTCTTTTCTGAACTGAACAGCCCCAATCTTTTTAGTCTCTCCTCGTATGGAAGCCATTCCATACCCTTGAGCATCTTTGTTGCCCTTTTTTGAACCTTGTCCATTTGTTTCAATGGTTAATCCCATGCACTGTTAAAAATATGTGCCTTATTTCTAATTTGAATTGGTCTGCCTTTGCCTTTCAGACATTGATTCTTGTTCTATCTATGCCATTCTCCACTAGATTAAAGAGCCCTATAGTGTCGGTATTTATACTCTGTAATCAAGTCAACTCTTAAGCTTGTTCATAAACTGAACAGACGGAGCTCCTTAAGTCTCTTGCTGGAAAGTATATTTTTTCCAGCCTTTGAATCGTTTTCAGGGCCAAGTGATTTGCTCAAAGTAACAAGAAGAATCAGGAAATAGACCCAGGAACCTTTCCTCCCCTGCTCTAGATGTCATATCCCTTGTCTCCCCTTGATGAATACAGCAATAGCTTAGTTCTGCCGGCTCCATACTTAATTTGACTACGTACTGCATCTTGGAAGCTTCTGTTACAGACTTGAGTAGCTGTTTTACAGTTCTGTCTGCTGCAGAGTTATAGTGAGATAAAACTCAGACAGACCTGGCACTTGGCATATATTGATGACAATGTAAAGTGGAAAATGATTGACATGGTTTATCAGTGAGAATGCTGCTTTACAAATTGATGTTACTGCTGAAGAAGCCCCTAATTGCTAGGACACAATGCTTATAAAAAGGCAGAGGGAACAATGCAAAATGCAGCAGAGAAACTGGCTTTGCAGAGGGAATGGGAGATAATCACTCACTTCATGCCCACCCTTGCTGTCTGTCAGCAAATAGAGTGTCTGGAAAATGTAAATACCTTCTTTTTTAAAGGCTTCTGGCAGGAAGGTATTTAAATAAGCACTCAGATCTGTAAAGTTAATTCTCCTAGCAGAGACGAGGTGGGCAAGATATTATCTTTTATTGGACCAACTTCTGTTGGTGAAAGAGACGTGCTTTCGAGCATACACAAAGCTCTTCTCCTAGCAGGACATTTAAATTGCTATGTAATTCATTTACATTTGTAGAGTGCTTTGAAGATGAAAAGTGTGATGTCAGTGCCAGGTAATATGAAAACACTCTGGGCCCGCTCATCAGCTGCTGTAAATTGGTATTGGTCCATTGGCATAAGTATGGAACGGAGCATGCCTTCTGTGAATCTGCACAGCTGAGATATAGTTCTCTGTGTCTGCAAATGGGATCTTTTTTCCATTATGTTTTATGCATGTAACTAATGTAACAGTGTCCATCTGACCCAAAGATCTGCTCACTGGTTCATCACCTCTATGAAAACTCTCTAGTTTGACACACTTGACGTTTGCAAAAATGATTTAACTGCATTTGGACAGTTTCTGATTTCAGTTAGGCTGGGGTCAACCCCCTGGAGCTGCTCCTGATTCACACTAGAAGAACAGAGCTAAGGGACTGGTGGGAGTAGATTGGTGGAGCTCCATTTAAGACAACAAAGCTATACTGATATACGACTGCAGGGGACCTGGCCCGTCGTCTAAGCTGTGTTAAATGTGGCGCAGAACGAGATTTTAAGTGCCGATATCATAAAGCATGCCGCTTCTGCTTATCATATAGAACAGCAATGTGCAGTGCCACTGAGCATGGCTAATACCCACTTCTACAATGACGCACCGGGAAGGAGGGGAGTCCCCAGTTGTTTTTCACTCAGACACCCCAATTAACTGTGATTAAAGTCGCTGTCAGGGACAAACTGTGGGCACTGGTGGCTTGACTGACATCCAGTAGAAGCATCATTCTTTGAAATGACCTGCTGATTTCCCCCTGGAAAATTTTACTATTCATTCTGGGCCTGATTTGCCTCTCACACCAGTATAAATCGGGAGTAACTCCACCGAGGTCACTGGGATTACTCTGGTATAAAACTGGCAGGAGAGGAGAATCAGGCCTCTCTATCTGATAACAGTACTACATATACTGCCTGCCAATCCTATTGTCATAAGCTTCTTAGTGGCAAGATCTCAGGCAAAGAATTTTGTGTGTTAAGCCATCAGACTATTGCACAAGGATTCATAGGGCCTGTCTGCACTGCACTCAGAGGTGTGACTGCACAGACATATCTGAGCTGGCTTTGATCTAGCTAGCTCAAATAATATAGCAGTGGAACGAGGGCAGGACGGACTGCATAAGCTCACTAGGATGTGTTTTCGAGCAGCTAGCCCAGGCTGCTTTGGCTTTACTGCTATTGTTAAACCAGCTAGATCAAAGCTAGCTCGGTACGTCTACAGGTGCTGCAGTGTAGACATATCCAGCCCAAGCCTGAATGTCTACATTACAATTTCATAGCCCTACAGCCCGAGCCCCGCCAGCCCAAATCAGGTGACATAGGCCAGCCCTGGATGTTTTATTGCAGGTGGACATACCCTAACAATAACACTGAGTGGCGGTTTTCAGATAAGCATTCTCTTCCATGAATGGGTGACTGGCATTTACCTCCAGAGTCTGAACGTACAGCATGGGCGACCCAACAATGACTGCAATCGTCCATACGAATCCTGTTTAAAGAGAGAAGAAAGGAAGAAATTAATTCTTTCAATTATGACCGTTACTTTTCAACATTTATCTCAAGGCATTTGTCAGTGTTTACTTTTGCCAAGTGAATTGGCTAGAATGAAAGAGCTGAGGCTCTAGATTTCTAATAACTGAGAGTTTGCCAATCAAGAAGCATCTTGTTTTTTTCACTTTGTTAATTATGCATAACTGCAGGACTCGCTTGGCCTTTCTACCTCTCTCTGCAGAGAATTCTTTGCTCATTGTCAAGGTGAATCAGTTACAGATTAAGAATCTAATATCTAATCCTTTACACTTTTCCTGGTTTAAAATGAACAGTATTTCAGTCTCCAGATCCAGCCAACTCCAGATGTTGTTCACTTGAAATCAAATTTTCAGAGTAAGGAAATTGTTCCAAACGAATAATCACACTATACTTTCATTCTGCCTCCCTTGCTCATGCTTAGTAATATCGTGCTTTGCAAATAGTTCCATTGATTTAAATGGAGCTATTCTAAAGAAAACTACTACTCAGTGTGAGTCAAGGAGACTAATAAGTCCACAGAATAAGACTGTAGGCTGAAATTCTACTGTGGGTTATGCACCATTTAAGTGCTCAAAGTATGGTTCAAATGGGATGTAGACCTTGGGTTAGCCCTCTGCACAGGGGCAAATTTCACGTGCAATGAATTTTGGTTATGGGGAAAGTCACTGTGTTTGTAAATATGAGTTTTTCCCTGATTTATACCATTGGAGCTACTATAGATCATGGCCCAATTTGGCCCAATATATTGGATACCTTTTTAAAAAGGTGTCTGTGTGCTGTTTAACTTTGTATTGTTTCATCTGTACAATATTCCATATGCTTATATTGGGAAATAACTGTCTGGGTGTGAGGAAATGTTCAATTCAGTCAACAAAAGCCTTTTCACTGGCCTCATTGGGCATCGGATCAAACCTTAGGTGTAACCACTGTGGGTGGTGAAGGGGCATTCTCTTGTTAATTGCACCCGCTGTACAACTGTTCAAGAAATGTCACCCCACTTGTTGGGGTTGAGATAAGATGAATGGAGCCTGTGCAGTTCACCCAGGTCTCCCTGCAGCCTTTTGTGAGGGGGTGTGTTTCTGAGATCCAAAAGATGACTTTAGTGCCAGGAAACAGGATTATGTTTTCATTTCAGAGGGATTTAAGAGCTCACAAAGTTCCCCACCTCTTGATCTCTCTGTCTCATCCTGGGTCTAGTGCTAAATACTCTTCAATCTTTCAAAAAAATTACCTGACGCCTGCACAAAGCCAGATGCGGGATGCAAACAAAGGAAGATACCCGGCTCCCTTTTATGTCCTCTGAAATCAATGGGGTCACACTAGCATGGTGTAACTCAGGCTGAAGGATTTTCTTTTCCTTTAACAAACACACAGGTAATGCAGATTCTTTTTCTCTTGGAAGATGAATTTTTCCTTGTGCAGAGAGCCAGCATGAGGACTATGTACCCTGAAGTCCCACTTAAGCCCAGTTTTGAGGATTGACGTAATGCTCAGAATTATGTACACTGGCCCTTTATGCAGGCAGGGGAAGGAAACGGAAAACCTCGTAAGCATGCAAGAAGTCCTGAACCTACAAGCTCTTCTTTACAGTGAGCCTGACCCTGCCCTGCTGAAGGGAGCTTTGTCATTGATTTCAGAGGAGGCAGGATCAAGCATTGTATAAGCCAAGCTGCTGAACACTGTAAAGCCAAAAATCACACTAGATAACTGCAGTGCTGCCGGGCTATCTTTTGCCTGCTGCTGAATGGTTGTTTGGGGACTGGGGAGCGGGCCAGGGAAGCCCTGCTCACACCTCCACAACACACACAGACACACACACACACACAATCTTTTTCACCTGGGCAGAAGGAACCATTGCATTCCCCCAGGAGAGCACCTACCATCTTCCCCCAGCACAGACTCATCACTAGTACGAAGCACCCCAGAGTAGGATAGAGTGATGCTGAAGGAGTCCCCTATGAACGAATGGGGCAGTTGATGCTCCCAGTAGCCCCAGGGGTATTCTGCTGGACTCTTTCCTGCGTGAGGTCTCCTTCTGCAACATATCCCCTTTTAATGTGGCATTAGCTATGGATTCCTCTCCTCTAGTCCTACTACTTAGAGATCTGTAGGAAATGGAATTTGCATCCCACAAAAAAAAATTGAAGATTTGTTTTCGTTCTCAATTGGAACAAAACCGAACATCTTTTTTTGGAAATTTTCTGCCCACCTGAATTTTTGAAAAATGTTCACTTGGGGTCAATCAGAACATCCTCTTACCAGAAAGTCGAAAAGTTTCGGTCTGATTTTGATTTTAAAAATAAATGAACATTTCAAAATGAAAAGTCATTTAGAAATGAGAAATCAAAATGGAACAATCTGAGAGTGTCAAAACGTTCCATTCTGACACCACCAAAATGCTGCGTTCCAATTCTTTTTCCTTGATGAAATTTCATCTACAGCGGATACCTTCCTGCAGAAAATGTCTGTTTCAGTGAAAGAGCATTTTCCAATGGAGAAATGCTCTGTTGGGAATGTTTTGACCAGTTCTAAAATCAAGTCATCTAGTCCATCCCATCCATGTAGGTTTATCCAGGGATTGTGTCATCCCAGTGCTTTTTGTGCAATCTGGTTTGAAATCACCCAAGGCACAGGGACCTGTTCTGCCCAGACATAAGTTATTACTAAATTTAGGACAAAGTGTCATTTATCATTGAACCTGGGATTCAAATGTGATTTAAATGTATCCAATTAAAACAAAAAACACATGTCACTGACCTGAGACTTTTTTTGAAACCGATGGTTTTTAATAGCAAAAGTAAACCAGATCCTACAGCACTGGTTTCAGTGAGGCCACTCATGTAACAAGGTGCTATTCAGGGTGAGTAAGAGGATCAGAATCAGTCCCACTGTCTTTATAGTTCTGTAGAGCTTGAAAGCAGCAATGTAAAACTTGATTCTTCCCACACTTCCATGATGGAGCAGGCGGGGGATCAGGAATAGTTCCACTGAAATCATGCTGATGTAAAGATGGTGTAAATGAGAGCAGAATCAGACTGTCACAGTGGACTCAAGAAAATAGTGAGGGATTAAATTGTGTAATGCACTGGTGTGTTTGTGTGAGAGAACTCACCTCTGTTACAGGCCTGCCCAGTGTTGTGTTTAGCCAGACACAAAAAGAAAACATGTGCTTTCAGTCTGAATGACTTGTCTTTTTCATGAAAGAGAAAAACCAGCCAACCTAGAATGGCTCAAAGCCAATGCTCATGGAAGTTAATGGGAAGGTTCCCTTATTAGCTTCCATGGGGGTTTCCCTATGTTTGTCCAACATGGGTTGGATTTGAACGTGTCCTAGAGACAGCATTGCCAACTCTCACAATTTTGTCATGAGTCTCATGATGATTATTGTTTTCCTTAAAGCCCCAGCTCCTGGAGTCAAGTGGATATGGGATGATTTCAGCTTTCATTCTTAAAAAGAAAAAGTAAGTTTCTAGCCCTTGTGGCTATGGAGAAAGCTTCAAAAATGTGACCTCAGTGCACCCTATAGGCTCAAAAAGCCTTAAATAGAAGGCAAATTAAAAAAAAAGCTTTGAATCTATTATTTGTACATAATCTCATGATCTGAAAGCTGATCTCATGTTTTTTGGTGAGCCTGACTCATGATCTTTGAACATTTGGAGTTTGCAATACTGTAGAGGTGCAAAACTCCATGCCCCATTACCAGTTACCCTACATATATACTCAGCCATACCTAGCATTTTGTAGGTTCTCTTGTTTGTGTACTGTCTCTTCATCTTCAGTGGGTGAACTATTCCTTGGTACCTCTCTACAGCAATGCATGTCATGGTAAGGGTGCTGGCCACAACTGCCGTGGTCTGAATGAAGGGGACCATCTTGCACACAAAGGGGCCTAGAAAAGAAAGACACATTTTAGTGTGCTGGCTCTCATGGCAGAAATAAATCCTAACCCTAAGGCCTGGGAGCAAATTTCAGCTGGTGGAAGGGGGAGGGGGGGCTCAATTCTAACTCAGATTGTCCTCTATGCTTGGACTTCTTTGTAATCTTGGGGTTGTCAAATAACCTGAGCCAGATTCCTTCCTGTACAGAGATCTATTTAGCCCAGGAGAGGAGGGGACCATCAAAGAACTGGTGATAACTAGAGTTAGGTGAAATTTTTCAGACAAAACTTATTTTTGGTGAAAAAATGGAGATTCAGCACCACGGAAACATTTCACGAATTCCTGCAGGCTTCGCCAAATTGTTTTGACCGGGGGAAAAAAATTGGAACACATCAAGTGGTTTGGATTTTTTTTTAAAGAAAAAATGTTTAAAAACTGTCAAAATGATATTGTCAAAATAAAATATTTAGTTTGACCCAAAACTTTTTTTTCTGACTTTTGGATTTGCTAAAACATTTAAAAAAATGTCATTTTGCATTCAACCCCAAACAACACTGCCCCCTCCGCCCCTCAGGTGGTGGTGGTTGGTTGTTGGTTTTTTGTTTCTATTTGCCAGCAAAAAGAAAAATCCATTATTTGCACATCTCTAGCTGTAACTTCCTGATTCCTTCTAGCTGCCTTGGCCTGGCCCTGCTCTAAGTCAGAGCAGCCTAAAGGCTTCTCTAAAATACACTAGGTAGGGATGGTCCCCAAGAGACCAGGCATCAGCTAAGAACTGGCCAAGCTCAGGTGTGCTCTCCCCTCCGCCCCCTAGACATGCTCCTACACTAGATTGTGGGGTCAGTCGGAGTATGTAGGCATTCCTATGCTGGGAAAATCTCAGCGAGCCAGTTAGAGACTCTGGGCACCACCTGAGCATTGCAAAGTGGCAGGAAAACAGGGGAGAGAATCTAGCCACGTGTCCAGCAGGCTTCCGCTTAATTGCAGTATGAATTCAATGCTTTTCTTTCCTGCACGCCGGTGTAGGATAATGTGCAATTACATTACTTTTGACCGCTGGATGTCTGCCCAGCCTTTCAGAGCTAAAACAAACAAGCAGCGAGGGGCTGAGTGTGATGACTTCTCAACAATCCTTCCAGCCCCCTGTGAAAGAAGGGAAATTTTAGCCAGCATGTCACAAGAGCCCTTAGGATGGGGACTACAGAGCGATCCAGTGGAGTCCATGGCACAATGCAGGAAGGTGGAGTTTCTTGCAGAGCCGTGCAGCACCATGTACCATTGGATCTTGGTTTACAACTGGGGCTCATAGGTACTATGGTAACCCCCCAAACCCAATAATAATTAACAGTATCACCTTTAAAACCCGTCCCACACACGCACCGCCTTCGATTTAGACACTGCTATAGTAAGCCTCTTTCATTTCAGACCAATATTCGGAAGCAGCCAAGACCTCACCAGTGTAATGGTAATAGGGAAGTATCACTCAGACATTAAATGGACTGCACCAAGCCAGAGCATATCTTGAGCTCAAATCCAGCCCTGGGCTCTGCAGATATGGATGCCGCCAAGCTGTGGAGTCAGTATGGTTCCATGGGCAAACAGCAGCAGGATGCTGCTTGGGTGGTACACAGAGCTCAGCCCCATGGAAAAGCCCCACCAGAGCTGCCCAAAGAGGTCTGGGCAGGCATGGGTCATAGAATCATAGACTATCAGGGTTGGAAGGGACCTCAGGAGGTCATCTAGTCCAACCCCCTGCTCAAAGCAGGGCCAATCCCCAACTAAATCATCCCAGCCAGGGCTTTGTCAAGCCTGACCTTAAAAACCTCTAAGGATGGAGATTCCACCACCTCCCTAGGTAACCCATTCCAGTGCTTCACCACCCTCCTAGTGAAAAAGTTTTTCCTAATATCCAACCTAGACCTCCCCCACTGTAACTTGAGACCATTGCTCCTTGTTCTGTCATCTGCCACCACTGAGAACAGCTGAGCTCCATCCTCTTTGGAACCCCCCTTCAGGTAGTTGAAGGCTGCTATCAAATCCTCCCTCACTCTTCTCTTCTGCAGACTAAATAACCACAGTCCCCTCAGCCTCTCCTCATAAGTCATGTGCTCCAGCCTCCTAATAATTTTTGTTGCCCTCCGCTGGACTCTTTCCAATTTTTCCACAACCTTCTTGTAGTGTGGGGCCCAAAACTGAACACAGTACTCCAGATGAGGCCTCACCAATGCCGAATAGAGGGGAATGATCACATCCCCTGACCCTATCTCCAGCCGTTGGGGTCCACAGACTGGGAAGAGCAAGGCCTGCCTTGTGCTCGGGCCAGGGGCTGGACTGATCATTTTAGCCTTATGGTCTGATTCTCATTTACACTAAACTTTCAGCTCACTGTGGCCTAGTGGATAGAACACTGAACTGGGACTCAGGAAATCTGAGCTCTGCTGCTGGGGTGACCTTGGGCAGGTCATGCTCCCTCTTTGTGCCTCAGTTTCTGTGGAATGGGGATGATGATACTGAGCACCTCTGTAAAGTGCTTTGAGATTTATGGGCAAAAAGTGCTATATAAGCAAGAGGTGGTGTGTTATTAAAGTCTCCTTCTGCATCTCTGGCAGCATGCTGTTTTCAGAAACAGTCTCCTGAAAATACCCCATGTTGCAAATGCCTTCACAGGCACTGTAGAGCTGCCACCAGGTCTCTGTGCCCAACCTGCTCCCAAAGCGTGGTGTTGGGGCCAATCAGAACTGCTATGGGTCTTTTCTGCCTTTCAGGCCAGACAGGGGACCATGTGAAGCAGAGCATAAGGTAGAGTAGCCCCGAGGCTGCTTTTACTTGCAGCAGGGTGATAAGATATCAAAGGTGGCTTAAAAAACACCTTCCACCATGCCCCCTGACCCTTCCCAAAGGGAGGAACAGAGCAACTGGACATCAGGCACTTAGGGCAGATAATTTATGGAATATGCATCATTCATCAGGCCACTAAAGTCATCGTGCTGGGATGTTAAGCAAGCTACTCTGAAGGATTATAACACTGTTTTTAGGTTAGCGTTCCCCAGCTCCTGAATCTCGTTTTAGCGTGCCACTCCTTTGATTGAGGGCGAAGTTTTAGGATGATGATTTGGGGTCAAATTCTGCTCAGCTATGTTGGTATAAATCCAGAGTCACTCCACTTGACTTCAGATTTACATCAGTATAACAGAGCAGAATTCCCCAACACCAAAACCCTTCATTTCATAACAGTGGAATAAGAAGCTCTGAAGAGCATTAGTTCTGTCGGAGAAGAGGGGAAAGTTGGATGCTGAAGTCTGATCGTGCCAGTCAACGATGAATGGCCTTCTGAAGTTATCTGATCACATGGCCGTTGTGTAAAGCAGACACAAGGATCAGTCATGCTGGCATCAGTAGATGGAGGTTTTATCTGGTTTTCTTTTGCATGAGAATCAGTTGAAATTGTGTTTTGTTCCAGATGCCAGATGCTGGGTACAATACTACCAAACTCCCAGTAGGATGCTAGAATATTGAGAGACATCTGCATCAAGTGACTACTAACTGACTCAACTTCCTGGAGGTCTTTGTGCCTTGAACGTTGTTGACAAGAACGCTGTGGCTTGGCTTGCCTGGATTGCATATGCCAAATAATACAGTGAACGCCCCCCACCTCTTTGGAAAGGATGAGTTTCCATCTCAGCCCATTTGCTTTTTTAGAGCCAGGACTGGCAGCAGCTTCTGATGCTATCGCTGGGGATTTATCTGCATCTGAGACTTTCCCGGAGCACAATGAAATTGTTGGCGTTTGAACAATTTTCTGCTCATTTTACAGCCTTTTCCCCTGAGATGAAAGAGCTTCAAGGGAGCTCATCTAATCTGTTGCTCATCTGCTGGGCTCCCTAGCAACTGACGGGCACACATGAGGCTGCCTTTTCTGACCCTCATGTCTGATTTATGTGGAAGTGTTAAGGAAATAGAGGTTTGAAGATTGTGGATGCAGATTTAAAGAACCCAACGGGTGACGTGAGGCTGAATATATGTTTTCTCAAGTAACAAACTCTCTGGAGCACAGTCCCAAAACGTGGAGGTGGAGAGATTGTTTTTAGCACGGACGCATCTGGGCTTTGAAACTGGAGTCCTTTCCTAGCCCTGGATCTGGAGATGAGTTATTCCTAAAGCTGCTGGCTAAGATAATCACAGTGAGGAGATTATCAAAGGCACCAATGGGAATTCGATATTCTTCTCTGGTTAATTGCCAAAGGGAATTGGGCACCTTTGAGAGTCTGCCCTCTAGTGGGTGTGCTAGGAGCTAATAGAGTCTACTACCTGCTGTGGCTGGAGCTGGGAAAGCCAGGGGGTTTCTATTCTATGCTGAAGAACCTTTGCATTGTGGTGGAGAGTTGGCTTGACCTGGTACGTCTCCCAAGCTGCACTATAGGAGCTTATGCTCAAATAAATTGGTTAGTCTCTAAGGTGCCACAAGTCCTCCTTTTCTTTTTGCGAATACAGACTAACACGGCTGCTACTCTGAAACCTGTAGGAAGAGAGGCCACTGGGACATCTCTCCACACAAAAAATATAGTTCGGGCTGGAAGGAGATGGATGAAGTTCCACTGGGCTAGGACTCAGGAGAGGTGATTTTTGGTTCCCTGTTCTGCCATAGTACATGCTGTGTGTACGTGGACAAGCCACTTAGGGGCTGTCTTCCCTGCAGCATTAATGTGGGCTTTTACTTGGATGTCATCCCTAATACTCTTACCCACCTCATCCGCACACACACAAAACCCTCTGGCTCAAGTTTGGTGTTGCTTTAAAGCCAAGCTAGCTGGCCCAGCTGTGGGTAAAGGCTAGAGACCACCCTGCAGTGATTACACAAACTAGCTCACTCCAGTCCTGCTTAGCTTGCCAGATCCAACTCCCAGACAATATGGCTGAGGCCACGATGCATTTGGGGATAGGTGGCTTGCCTTTGACCTGTTCAGTATGGGGAGTATACACAAAGGGATAGTAACTGTTGGCCATGTGGGTG